CTCTGTGTGTCCCCAGTCTTCTCCAAAACCCCTTTGTGGTCTCCAGACTTCTCTTGTCCAGTCTATCTGTTTTTTAGGCCTTTTTGGTCTCATCTGAGCTTCTTTTTTTTTTTTTTTATCTCTAAGCTTCACTCAAGTTGTACACCAGGAGCCCTTTCATGGTATCAAAATTATTATAGAATTGCTTTGCAGCCTCTTGGCTTCATCCTAGCCCCTTTTAGTGTCCAAGCTTCACTCGAGCTCCTTTGCAAGGCAAAGCAAGGCAAGTTCATTCGTAAAGCCGAATTCAGTACAATGATAACTTAAAGTGCTTTACATGACATAGACAGTAATATAGATGTTGAATAAAATCAGAGTAAAATCAAATGAAAATTAAAACATGATAAAAGCAGGTAGTAAAACCAATAAAACAATTGGACCACAACCTTATAATAATACCTCAGTTATCAGTTTAACTTCAACAGTCAAAGGCAGCTCTAAACAAATGGGTTTCTAACTTTGACCTAAAAAAACTCAGGTTTTAAGCTCTTTTCCAGTCTTCTTGGAGTTTGTTCCAGGTCAGTGGAGCATAGGAACTAAATGTTGCTTCTCCATGTTAGGTTCTAGTTCTGGGTGGACAGACAAGGCTGGAACTAGGAGACTTGAGTGGTCTGGGAAGTTGATCCACTGATAACAGATTTGTTATATATGATGTTGCTGATCTATCCAGTGATTTATAGACTAACAGAAGAGTTTAAAATGTATTATGTGAGCTATAAGGAGCCAGTATGAGGACTTCAGAACCGGGCTGATTTGATCTAATTTCTTAGCTCTAGTGAGGACAAGGGCAGCAGCGTTTTGGACCAGCTGCAGCTGTCTGATGGGCTTTTTAGGTAAACCTACAAAGACACTGTTGCAATAATAAATTCTACAATAAATACATAAACATATTTTTCAAGATCCTGCTAGGACATTAGTCCTTTAATCCCTGAAACGTCCTTCAGATGATGAAGGGCATTTCCTTCACGCTCCACACTAATGGTTCGCTCTCAGCAGTATTGCTCTTCCATTGGTACTTAATAAACTATGTGGCTGATCATCCTCTACCAGGAGTAAAAAATCCCTTTGTCTTACTATCAAGATTTTATTTCTTCCAGCTCACAAGAGGTGATACTAATCATACTTTAATTTCTACCAAAAGGAATCCCTAAATTATACCCAAATAAAATATTTAATTCATTTCTGTTTATTTTTAGATAAAGAGCCCAATGGAAAGTTATATAGATATTGAATATTTCTCTTGCATAGTTCTTGTTTCTATCTATTTAAATATGATTTAAATGTTTCCTTGTAGTGTCAATACAACTTTTTCTCTGTTTCCTTTAAAACATTTTGGTTAGCATATTCATTCGGTTTAGGTCTGGATTGCCATGGTATTACATGGTATTAGGCAATTATGTAGGTTCCCCCTGTAATTTTTTTTATATCAAAACCCTGTGAATATAAATCTTCATTGACCCCAAGCAGTGGTAACCGAGGGGTAAATTCACAGAAATAAAGCCAAAACTGCCAAAGTAGAAAGAATAATGCTTTTATTTGCTTTTTTGCAGCAATGAAGATTTAATAGATTTGTGTTTAATGCATAATTCATAGTAGATCAGAAAGTGTTTACTTTGGAATGGGAACCTTGTACTGTATGTTTAAAACCATTCCTTTATTGTACATTTTGTTAGCTTGTCTCCAACTGGAATTGATCTT